TTCATGTGGACCCACACAGGAGCGAGGAATCAGAACAACTGAAAAAAGGGAGCCACTCAGAGGTCGATGAATCATCACAAGGGACCAGCGCAGGGCCCATCCCATGGGAAGTGTTTGCAGCACGGGTGGTGGGGAAGACAGGTCCACCAGGGGAACACTGGGACACAGCAAGGACAGCTGATCTGCCCCCAAATCAGCACAGGACCACTCAGAGGAGACTGGTCAGGAATGAAGAATTGCATGGGGTGCAGTTTGATGAAAAAACTCAGGCCTGGATCAGATATTCTACAGAACACAGACCCACCAGGTCTCTGGAGATCCGGAAGTACCTATAAGATCAACCATTAAACCCTGAGCTGCACAAAAGGCCTTCCCTAGGGAAACAGCAGCAAAGTAGCAATTTAAACAACCACACAGCTCAAGTACTGGTTCCCACAGGAAGTTCCCCCGTGTTAGAAGCAAAGGACATAAAATTAGTTCTGGCCTAGGCACACCACCAGCACCTTGGGGCCTGCCAGGGAACTGGAGGCTTGGATCTGGCAACTGGACTGTTGATTAAAATGATTGGAGACGCGAAGGAAGACACAGCAGACGAGATGCAGGTGAAGAGCAGGGGGCCACTGCTCTCTCAGGCAAGTAGTACCGACCCAGCCTCTGTTACAGCTTTTATTACATTTAGCAAGCTTGTGCATTCAAGATAAGCATTAATAAATAAATTCTGTTATACTTTTCTCAAGAGCAGAAGGCTGTTACCTCCCTTCTCAAGCACTTGGTTATCTATAATGCGCCTCCTGGGAACATCCCAAGAAAGTGTTCTCACAACTTCAAGTGTTCTCAAGGATTGTTTGCAATCCTTGACATTTCTTGGTTAACTCATTTGCGAGTTTGCCAAGTGAACACGTCCTTGGGTGCTGACCACAGAAGTCCATTAACCACACAGAAGTCCATCTTCCTTCACTGGACCCCACTCCTACTTCCAGGCAAACTGCACCAATGCCTCGGGGTCAGCCTGGGGAACTGAAGCATGGAGAAGGGGACTGTACTCTCCTCCCACAACCAGGCACACCACACCAGCACCTTGGGCCCCACCCAGGGACCTGAGGCAAGGAGAAGGGGACCTGACCTCTCCCTCAGAACCAGGCACACTGAGCCAGCACCTTGGGGCTCACCCAGGGACCTGGGGTATGGAGTTGGGGACCAGACCACCCTCCCACAACCAGGCACAACATGCCAGCACCTCGGAGCCCACCCAGGGACCTGGGGCAAGGAGAAGGGAAATGGTCCTCTCTCCCACAACCAGGCACACCATGCCAGAGCTTCAGGGCCCACCCAGGGACCTGAGGCATGGAGAAGGGGACTGGACCACCCTCCCACAACCAGGCACACCATGTCAGCACCTTGGGGCCTGACCAGGGACACAGGGCATGGAGAAGGGGACCAGACCTCTCTCCCACAACCAGTCACACTGAGCCAGCACCTTGGGGCCCACCCAGGGACCTGGGGTATGGAGTCGGGGACTGGACCTCTCTCCCACAACCAGGCACAACATGCCAGCAACTTGGAGCCCACCTAGGGACCTGAGGCAAGGTGAAGAGGAATGGTCCTCTCTCCCACAACAAGGCACACTGCGCCAGTGCTTCAAGGCCCACCTGGGGACCCAAGGCATGGAGAAGTGGACTGGACCTCTCTCCCACAACCAGGCACACTGCACCAGTGCCTCAGGGCCCACCCATGGTCCCAGGGCATGGAGAAGGGAACTAGACCACCCTCCCACAACCAGGCACACCATGCCAGCACCTTGGGGCCTGCCCGGGGACCCGGGGTATGGAGTCGGGAACTGGACCACCCTCCCACAACCAGGCACACCAACCCAGCGCCTTGGGTTCCACCCATTGACCCAAGGCCTGGAGCCAGGGACCAGACCCTCCTCCCACACCAAGGCACACCACATCAGTACCTCAGGGCCCATCCAGGGACCCGAAGCAAGGAGAAGGGGACTGGACCTCTCTCCCACAACCAGGGACATGGTGCCAGCATCTTGGGGCCTGCCCGGCCCAGAGGCATGCACAAGGGGACTGGATCCTCCTCCCACAACCAGGCACACTGCACCAATACCTCGATGCCCACCCAGGGACCCGGGACATGGAGAAGGGGACTGGACCGCTCTCCCACAACCAGGCACATGGCACCAGCACTTTGGGCCCTGCCCAGGGACCAGAGGCATGGGGAAGTGGACCAAACACACCCCACAACCAGGCATACTGCCAGTGCCAAGGAGCATGACAAAAACAGCATCCCCACATGGGTGGCCCACCACAGCCACCACAATAACCATGGCTGCTGCAAAAGTGGCTAGATGCCACAGCCACCATGCAGATGGTCCGCCAACCACTGGAGTGCATTGACACAAGAAGTGTCACCAGCAGAGACAAAGAAAATAAGAGGATGTCTCTTTCCACAAAACCCATTTCAGAGTGACAGAAGAAGCATCTGCTGTTTGATAATATTGGGGGACCTGATCACATCTCTCAGCATTGGACAGATCATCTAGACAACAAGTTAACAGAGTAATCATTATTTTTTCAGAGGGAGAGAAGAAATCTACGGCAATTAGAGGGGGAAGGAGGAGGGAATGGGGGAAGGGGAGAAGTTGGACAAGGGGCATAAAGTCTAATTACGATTTGTAATAGTATATATGCTAGTAATACTCATTTAATCAACATATCTCAATATTCAACCCCAAAAATGTGTAATCGATTTTGATTCAATAAATAAATTTTTTTAAAAAAAGAAAAGAAGTGGCATAGCTAAGATTTGAACCCAGGTAGTCTGACTTCAGAGCCCTATGCTCTAGGCCACTGTGTAATCCTCGCTTGCTCATTATGTCCTTTGGGCTTTGATGTGCTCTGCTAAATGAGACAGTTTAAAAGCATCAAGGAATCAAGAATGCTTTATAAATTGTTTATTTATGGCTTCCTCTTCCAGGCATCTAATTGCTTCCATTCTAAAATACCTGTCTTGTTTGGTGTAAAATAGCATTCAGTAAAATTTGGTCTAGACAAGGTAACAAAAGAAAAATAATGCCACATAAATATGACAGGAATTTTAATGAAAGCAATCCCTGATTTGAAAGGAATGTGTCAATGTGATGATATAGCAAGAAGTCTTTTTAATACATTGAGCGTTTTTGATGATGGGACAGAAAAAATGAATTCAGCATATCACCAAAATATAAAAATGAAAAGATTCTAGCATTCAACAACCATCAAGATAGTTCATCTCTTCAGTCTTTAAGATTTCAGCAACATATAGGTCGTAAATTCATATATAAATATGAATACATCTGTATAGCAACAAGGAAAACTAAAGAATGGGAAGCTGCTGTGAATTGGGTGGTGAGAGTAAAGCCTCTCTGGGGAAGCAGCAGTAAAGCTGAAATAAAAAAGATCTCTGGGAGCCAGCCAGATTAAGAATTACATGGTGTGTTTATCAGTCAGAATAGGCTAAGTGATGCTGCAATAACAGCCCCAAACTCTTATAGCTTAAAACAACAAAGGTTTCTTACTCATGCTACATGTCCATAACAGGTTGGCTGGGGATTCTTCTTCATGGCATCCTCAGACCAGAACCCAGACTTACAGATCTGATACTGCTTGGTACATTGCCATTCTGTAGGGAAAGAAGAAGATGTATGTTAAACCATGCACTTGATCTTAAAGCTTTTACCTGGAATCACATACCACATTTCATAGGCTAGTACAAGTCACATGACCACATCTAATGTGAAGAGGGCACAGAGATGTGCAATCCCAACTTGTTCCTGGAAGCGAGAAGAATGGGAAATATCTAGTTAATAGACTAATGCCTACAGTGTTGGGTGAGGAAGTGTGGAGGGACGGCATTCCCAGCTGATAAACAGCATGTTCAAAGGCCCTGAAGTGGGAAAGAACTTGGCATATTTATGAAACTTAAAGGACAACCATGTTGCTGGGATGCAGTGAGCAGATGGGAGATGACCAGCATTTGTTAAAATGCTGATTCTGATCTGGTAGGTCTGAGGTTGGGCCTGAGATTCTGGATTCCTAACAGTTTTCAGGTAATATTGATGCTGCTGGAACAAGGACCACACTTGTGATCATAAGTTTCTAAAGGGTAGATAAATAGATTACATGCCAGGTAGTAAAAGAAGGGACATGGAACTAACATTTATTTAGTATCTATGTGCCAAGCACCATGCTGGGAACCTTACATGTATATCTCATTTAATGTGTTTCAAAACAACCATGGAGGAATATTATTACTCCTGTTTTAGAAATGAAGAGACTGAGGCTGAGTGAGTGAATTATTCCTGAAGGTTGGACAGCTAATTTATGATGGAACCTGGATTCAAACATAGACAAGTCTGACAGCAGAGCTCATAGCTTAATGGGAATTGTTGGAAACTCTCAAATGCTAAGCAGAAGTGTTTAGGTTGGAATTGGAAGGCAATACCTTTGTAGGTACAATCTTCATAAGATCACTTAAGGAAAGTACTAATGTTGCTGAGTTTGATTTTGCACTCTTGACTCATGTAGTACTTCAAAAACTTCATGGAAAAATAGAATTAAAAGACAATAGTCATCTTTCCATGAACTTTTTGAAGACCCCTCATATATGTAGGCAGGTAAAGAATGTGGTACTGTTCATGCCTCTAGACTGGGGCCATGCTCCAGTGTTATGGCATATCCTGGAGAAGTTAGAGTAGAATATGAATAAATACTAATAGCAAAATAGTAGTGCTAATGGAGGATATCAAAATTTAAAAGTAAAACACAAACATATTTTTCATCTACTGATATCAAAGGATACTTGATTCTGGATGGAAAAACTGTATTTTCTGAAAGTGTTTAGCTCTCACTCCATGATTCAAATACTCTTCCAAATAGAAACATCCCTTAAATATAGCTCTGCTCCTCTGTTGTTGTTTTTTTTTAAGTGTTTTATTTTTCCTCTTTTTCCAGGAAGCTGAAAAATGAACTCCTAGAAGCAAAACGTAGAAGTGGGAAGACTCAGCAGGAGACCAGCAGGGTCTGTGTTCACTGTCAGAGAAACCTAGGCCTAATCTTTGACCGGGGAGATCCATGCCAAGCCTGCTCACTGAGGGTGTGCAGTGACTGTCGGGTCGTGGGCCTCGATGGCAGCTGGAAGTGCACTGTCTGTGCCAAAGTCGCGTGAGTTTCTTGCCTTTTCATGGAAAGTGAGATTTGATGACTGAAGGGATTGGTGTAGGAAAAGGAAGGAAGAAAAACAGTATTTGAAATTTAGGAATAGAGAGTAGGGTTAATAGTACAGTTCGACCACAAGTTCCGCAATGCTTTGGCAGAGTTCTGCTCTGTGTGTGTGTGTGTGTGTGTGTGTGTGTGTGTGTGTGTGTGTGTGTGTGTGTGAGAGAGAGAGAGAGAGAGAGAGAGAGCAAAAGCAAAACAGACAGAGGCAGAGACAGAGACAACAGTACTTGAAGCATAGTTATATTGGCAGCCTCACAGAACCAAGGTCTCCTACATTTGAAAACCAACCATGAGCTTTCTTCTAAAGCCCCTCTTGGCTCCATGTGGCTTCTCAGAAGCACAGACAGTTCCCCTGAGATGTTCTTAGACATTTGGGGTGACCAATAAGATGTGTGTCAAGCACCCAGCCTGCTCTGCACATCAGCTGAGGAGCAAAACCTAATTCTTGAGAAAGGGCGAAAGAAGAGAACCTTCCCATTCACCTCTTTGTTTAGCCTGTGAGAGTGTAGTGGGCACAGATTTTACTCCATCTAATTGGGGACAAGTCAAGAGTCATTGTTTTCTAAGCTAAACTAGAGTCTAGGCGTGATTCCATCTCTACTACTCCTATGGCCTACCAAACTCCCATCTTTTCAAGAAATCTCCCCAGAAACAACTGGTATGTTTGCTTCCTCCCAACATCCCTTTTCCTCCTATACTCTGGTAGGTGCTTCATAATCTCTTCTCAAGGCAACTCAGTGTTGATCTGTCTTTCCTGTGGTTGAGGTGGGAGATGTTGGCATCACTCCAGTTCGTTTGGTTGGTTTGGTTTGGTTTGGTTTGTCTTTTCCCCTCATTAACTCATTCTGTTATAGGAGTTAAGGGGCCGTCTTTGGAGAAAAAGTGAATAGTGTGGTAGTAGGAGTGATCTTCCATTTTCGACTTCTCTGAATGAGGACTGGTGTTCTGTTGAAGGTTCCTATATTTAATGATTGCGTCATTTCACCAGTGTTATTTTTCCTTAATTGTTTCTTAAAGGTGGTCATGAATGGAGAAATTCATACATTGTTTCAACACTGGATTGAGATAAGCAGTTCTAAAGAAATGACCCATTTAAGTTTTTTTGTCACTTACTTCGGATGCATTACTTTGGTTTACTTAAGCAATCACCCTCAATTTTTTTGTCCCACATAAATAAATTTCTTTTAGTATGTCCTTTTCGTCATTAGCAAACATCCTTTGCTAGACCTGGGAGGATGAACACCAATGAAATCATTGATATGTGGATTTCAGCATAACCTTTTACTGATGTAAAAAAGGTTTTTATATATTCTGAATATAAGCTGTGTTGCAGATATCTTCTCCTATCATCTGACTTGGCTTTTCACTGTCTTAATGGAGCTGTTTGATGAACAGAAATCTTTAATTTTAGTGGCTCAAATTGTTAATCTTCTCCTGTATGATTAGTGGGATTTTTCTGTATCCTCTTAAAGAGAACTTACCTTAATTCCCATTTCATGCAAATATTCTTTTATGTGATCTTCTATAGTTGTTATTTTTTACCTTATACCTTCAGACTTATGATCTACCTGGAACTGATTTTTGTGTATGCTGTGAGTTAGGAGCCGATTTTTATATTTTAATATCAGAATTATGCAGTGGTTGATTTCAGTAACTTAGATATGTCTATTAAATTATAATTAATTGTATTGTCCAAATCTTCCATACCCTTACAGATGTATCTGCATATTCAATCAGATATTGAGAGAGGTATGCTAACCTCTCATAATAATGATTGTGAATTTTCTATTTATCCTTTTAATCCTAATTATATTTCTTTATATATTTAGATTTACTACATGGTAACCCTTTTCATTGCTCTGCATATTTTGCTGCATCTCTATGCTTCCATTTGGAATAATTTTTCTTCTGCCTAAAGGGTACCCTTTAGTATTTCCTTTAGTGTAGTTCTGTGAGTGATGAATACTCTCAATTTTTGTTTTCTTAGCATGGCTTTATTTTACTCTTAATTTTCAAACATGTTTTAACTGATTATTGAATTCCAGATTGGAAGTTATTACCTTTCAGTAATTTGAAGATTCCATTGGCTTCAGATTTCCAATGTTTCTGTTAGAAAATCAGCTATTAGTATACAGTTGCTCCTTTGAAAGTAATATTTCTTTTTTACTGCTTTTAATATTTTTTTCCTTTTTTGTTGGGGCTTCAACAGATTACTATGACATGCCTAGATTTGATTTTCTTTTTATTTATCCACCTTGGAGTTTGTATAAGTCTGTTTATGTTGCTTGGAACGAAGTACATGGAACTGGGTGATTTATAAAGAAAATGAAATTTATCGCTTACAGTTTCTGAGGCTGGGAAGTCCAAAGTCCATCTGGTGGTGGTGACAGTGACCCAGGGGTCTCACATTGCAAGATGGTGGAAGCAGAGAGAGCAAGAGAGAGAGAAAGACAGACTCTCCTCTTCTTTTAAAGCCCTCAGAACCATGTGCCTGACCACCATTTTTAATCCATTCATTACTGCATGGTCCTACAACCCAATCACCTCTTCAAGGCCCCACCTTACAATTACCATAATAGGAGTTCCCACCCTTTTAACAGTCACAGTGTGAGCTAAGTTTCTAATACATAAAATTTGGGGGATACAGTTCAAGCTTCAGTGAGTTTGGGGGGAACATAATTCAATCCACTACAGGGTTCTTAGAGCATTTTGAATCTGCACCTTAATGTCTTTTGTCATATTTGAAAATTTCTCAGACAATATCCCTTCAGTTACTACTTTTTCCCCACTATCTCTCTTCACTCCACATATTCCACATGTGTACCTTAGTCATATTCAACCTCTTTCATATATATTTATGCTTCATTCTGTATTTTCTATCCTTTTACATCTCCGAATTCAGTTTGTGTATTTCTGACTGACCTATCTTTCAGTTCATGAATCCTTCCTTTGGCTATGTCTAATTTACTGTTAAATCCATCTATTTAATTCTTAAATTCAGTTATCATGTTTTTTAGTTTTAGAATCTTCATTTTGCTTCTGTTATGTTTTCTCTGTGCTGACATTCTCATTCTTATAATTTCTTGAAAAATTATTTGTAGTTATTTTAAAGTCTATTAATTATAGATTCATTGCCTGATTCCCTTATGGGGCCGCATTTGTTTTTTGTTGTTTCTCTTGGTTTTAGTAATGTCTTTCTTTCCATAAACCTGGTAGGGTTTTTTTAAGGTATTAATTTATTTATTTCCTTATAATTCAATTTAAAAATAAAGTTTCTAAGCTTCAGTCTTTTCCTTTTACCATGAAAACAAACCTGGTTTTTGATTGATGGTCAAAGTATATGAAAAATGGTAAATCTTAGTGAGACTCTGTATAGTAAGTATCTATTGAGAATATGCATTCTTATTCTGGAAGGGAAATAGGATAGGGCCACTGCATATTCAGGATTACCTTAATCAAGTCAGGGATTAAAGTAATTTCAAAACTGGGACCTCAGCCCCCAGGTGGGCTGATCTGTTTCTGGATTACATTTAATCTTAAAGAATAGTCTTTCAGGGTTTCATACCTATTAGGTAAAAGAAGCAATTAGTTTTATATTTTATAGATAATGAAAACAAGAACAATGAGAGTTAGAATGTGTGTTACTAGAGTTGGGATGACTATCAAAGTACTTAGGTTTGTTTGTTTGTTTGTTTAATCACCCTGCCCTTTTCTCACCAGCCTCTGCCAAGATGAGTTTGCCATTTTAGTGCAATGAAGAAGGAAATGGAATTTTTTAAAATGACTGCTCTTCCAGCTGCAGAGTCTAAGGACTGATGGGAAATTTCTCAATGACTATTTCTCCTATTCATATACAGTAGTAGTTTATTTGATTCTTAGTGTTTATTCTTTTCCATATTTATTCCACTCTTATTCACCCTCACATTCCAGACCCTCATTCACTCAGGCAACAGTAACTAGGGCCTATGACTCAAAAGCCCTTCAGTCAGTTGCAGGGTGCCTGAAGCTTCTGTATGGGGAGAGGAATTTTGTCTTTAACTTCTAAATAAAGCCTTTAATCACTGAAGCATACTTTTCAGTACAAGACCTAAGGTGCTTGTATATTCACACATTTTGCCATTGACTCATCTACTAGTTAGTACAGATGGTGACTAAAGGTCTAATTCACTTGAACCTTTCCCCTAAATTTTGTCAGATTAACTTTTGGCTGTATTAATGAAAAATTATCTTTTAATGTGTTAAGTCAGTGGAATTTTGAGATTGTTACAGAAGCTAGCCCAAACTAATACAACCCCTTTCTATGTTTCTTCCCTTAATACTTGTAGGCTATATATTTTACTTATCTTATTTATTATCTTTCTTCCTTCACTAGAATGCTTTTTTGTATATTGTTTACTGATACAGTTCTAGTGCATAAAAGAATGACTACAGTAGGTAGTCACTCATGAATATTTGTTAGACAAATGGATGGATGGGTGGGTGAACAAACAAATGTACTGATGAATGGAAGAATAAATGGGTGAATGAATGAAAGCGTGGCAAGCTCCTACTTAAAGCATTTCAGGCTTCAGCAAGTGGAACAAATGTCAAATAAATGTGGTTCTGTTCTTTCAGGAGCAAGGGGTTAAAAAAATGAGCCATGCCAAATGCTTTTGCCCTCTGAACGAAGCAAATTTCCAGCTGTCATAGAAAGGTGTTACTATAAGATGAGATATTGTCAGAGGATGTAAGAGTAAATAACAACAAACTGAAAGTTTTGTCTCTTCCTTGGGACATGTTAATGCATCAGTATAGAACTTCTGAATCAATCATACTTCTTTTATTGGTGAAACAATAATTTAATAAACCCAACAATTCACCTATCTAATTGATCCATCCATTGACCCATCCATCCATCCCTCCTACACATTTATTGATAACCTGTCAGTATACTAGGGACTAAG